CACTGGCACAGAGGCAGATGTAGCACAGGTTCAAGGCTGCAGGCTCACTGCATGACATAGGATGTCACCCACACACCAGGATCTGTGACAATGAACCACCTTGCAAAGAGCCAATGACAAGACCACAGCATGGGGCTTGGAGAAGGACCCATTCCCCAAGCACAGCTCCTCAGGCCGACGAGCTGGAGTGCAGAGATTCTGGTGGTAGACACTCACAAAGTAACTCAATGGATCTGAAGCTGTACTTGCATAATTCCCCTGTTTTCAGGAAGACTTTCTCAGTATGTACCACAGCAGAAACAGAACTTTTTTTCTTCACATGTTCATGATGTCAGTCCTGACCTACAACGACTTCAGAACAAACACTCTGAAAACTTCAGCATCCACTGGAGCCTGGTTCCAGCAATAGCCTGGAGTCACTCCTCATCAGAAGCAAGTGAAAGAAAACTAGCCTTATCCCAAGGCCTGCATTTAACTCAAGGAAGTGTTCCTCGTTGTGCAGATTCAGTGTAAGCTGATCTATAATACCCAAATACATTTTGCAGTGCTATCCCATCATCTGAAGCTTGATAGCACTGCCATGCAATTCTTTACCTTCATACTGGGCCATTATCTCAGCAGAAGGGCATGGAAATCTGATGCACAACAAAGCAAGACATCATCTGCTGTAATACCTTTATATCATGTGCCAACAGCTTTTACTTGGAGAAAAACTATCCCCACGTCAGCAAACTATTTGCTTTTGGTTTTAATTGTCTATCTGCAAACAAATAATTTGATACAGTCTCCTGGACATGTTTGGTCTTAAATGGACCCTATTGACATCTTGCAAAATATTGACAAAAGAGAGTCCTTTGAACAGCAAAGAATTAGCAAACAGCAACGCTTCCCAGCTGGTTGCCCTGCAAAATCCTTTCCTTTCCTATATGTTCCTTCCAGAGACAGTGATGTCTCCAAAAGGAGTCTTTACTTTGTTCCCCTTTTCCAGCATTGAAAGCTTTCCTAAGTTTTCCTTTACAGCACAGCACAAGGCTCTGGTGAGCTGGAGCCCCACGGCTCCACTGAAGCTCTCTCTCCAAGCAGCACATACACAGCTCTTTTGACTCGTGGCTCCCAAAAGAGCACTGAAGGATCCATCTTTGAAAGTTTTACCTTGTGTTAACAAATGAAATTTCACAAAGCTCAGGTAAATAAGTGAAAGAATCTGTTTTCTGGAAACGGAAACTCTGGCACAGAGAAATGCATTCATCTTTTTGAAGGCTGTCTGCCATTACAAGACATGTGTATAAGGATTTTTGCTTTAAACTGAGTTCAGTATCATGTTCTACATCAATGTCAGACATTTCTACTTGGTTTTCTACCAGAGTTTTGTGATTACAGCATAAGGATTTTTTTTTCCTTGTGTTTGGAAAATCTGTCTTTAAAGCAGAGATCTAGGAATATAGAGCAAATGTAGCTACTGAGGCTTGTTCACATTTTAATTGCATGGTTGCAGACTTAACAGGAGAGAATTCTTTCCTTCTTGAAATTCAAGACATTGAAAGGTTAATTCAGTCTTCTCAGTTCCATTTCCTTCCTTCTGTTCTACTTCCCACCCCCATCTGTAGACAGCTGAGTTATTTGAATTTTATGCAAGCTTGTATTCATCCGAAGGGAAATATCATTCAGTGTAAGCATCAGAGAAGAGAAAATTACACTATTGCACATTTTCATTTCTCAGTTCCAATTTGCTTTTCTCTTTATTCACCGGTTTGGGCAGCAGGCTGACACACTCATGCCCTAACGCGAGCTTCCACTCAAAAGTTAACTTGAATTAAAGCTTGAATGTCCCCATCCCCTTTAAATTCCTGTACTTTAAACCTTCGAGGATCTGCACTTGAGCTGTGCTGCTCTTCCTTTGAGCTGCAGAAGAGCTGCAGTTCAGGTTAGCACAATCTGCCCACTGCCAACACAATCAGTCTCTGCTGCTCCCGTGTTTTTTCATGGTGTGGTCACTCACATTCAAAGTATAATAACTGCAGAGGTGACAAACTGAGTGTACAGAGCCCAAATTAACCCTGCTATGAAGACTTATCCTTAAGAAGACTGCAGATGTTTTCTGTTGGTTTTTTAATTTTTTTTGGTATATACTTGCAAGGAGCAAGCCTTAAAGTAGCCACTGGCAACACTTTAATGTGGTCAAATCCTGAAAAAAATGGTTGTTTGCTTTGGACACTGCAGAAGGAAAGTAGCCTAATATTTCTCCTTTACATCTTAGAGAAGAAAAAGAGTGTCTATGTAGCATGCTGCAGCACTCATTTGAGCATGCAACTGATAGCAAATGTGGAACTTATTGATTACCACTTTCTTAGGTAATTGTTGGCCTTGAACACAAATTGTACTCTCTGTGTGTATGGCTTACAAACCAGCTCATAAAATTGGAGAATGATTTTTGGAAAAGATGATGTATGAATCCCTTCACGTAGAAATACAACTTTTTATTCTGGTAATTCCTTGCAGAGATGAGCTAGAAGAGATAGCAGGCTGTCTGCTGCTCTGCTTCGGTAGCTTTCCTTCCTTAGGCAGCTTAAAAACTGAGAGTTGATCTTCTTTTCCACAAAACATAATGCATACTTCAGCTCCGAGGTCCCAGTCTATTGGAAGTGAAAGGCTTTTGCAGCACTGGTGGTAGGCATCCCTCACAGCCTCAGCCACAGCCGTGTGTCCCTGAAGTCGGGGCACTATGCCATCATATCTCCCCCAGCACACAGCGTAACACTGATGGAAATGGCAGACTCACCTGCTGTCTGTTTTTCCTCTGGACAAAAATGAAAATCTGAATGCTGAACTTGTAGATCTCTGGATTTTATTACCTTCTCTTTGATTGCCTGGCTTATCAGTCTGGTAGTCCAGCTGCAGATGAAGTGCCACAGTTCAATCAGAACAGTGCTCCTTTTGTTTAAGGTAAAAAGAGTGAAGAGGTCAACAATGGATTGCTGGATTCAAGAGGCTGCTGAATTCCAGAGCAGTCAGCTGCACTGAGAGAGGTGCTCTGAGCACACTTCCAGTGCTCACCCATGACTTCTTTCTCTGCCCTGCTCTTTCTCTCTGCATATGAGAGATGCTACTGTTCTTAATGTCTAGAGACAGAAATAGATATATATTTTTTAAAAAAGAAGTAAATAGTGTAAATCATGCTGATCTAGCATTTCTAGAGCAGTATTCATCACCATTTGCCCTATAGCATACTGTTGTGACTAATGTGTCACATGCTTCTTTCCCCACCCTTTCTCTGGGAGAGAATCGCATGCATGGACATTTTGTATTAATCTTTTCCCTTTAATAATGCACACATATGTCACCACATTTTGCTAGAGAAGGCAATACCAAAGCCAATTATGTAGTGCTGGAAGACACATTTTTGGGTCAGCTTTTCAGAAAGCTATGTTGCACAAATCTCCATCTGGCCAAACCTTTAAAAATTCACCCCCATAGTAAATTTTGGAAGTCAAAAAGAGAGGGAGAGAGGAAATTTCCACTCCTGCTACCTTATGTTTTCTCTCCGTGTTTTTTTTTTTCTGCTGCAATAAGACTCCCAGCATAGACTAACTCCAGAGCTATTTGGAAAACATGGGGTTGGAAAATATAGCCAGAGCAGAAGGACTGTCCACATCTAGCCTGTCTTCTCCTCCCATCTGCAACCACCCTTAAGACCCAACATTCTACAGGAGGAAAACTGAACACCTCAGGTAACAATCAAACACACTGGAGGACAAGAACCAATTGTTTACACACCAGCAGTGCAGGATTAGAAGAGACATTCTGCCAAAGAGACATCACTGCCTTCCCTACACCCCCAGGATTCATTGTCTCTTAGCCTGGGAACCTGTCTGCGTTCCCAAACACGGTTATTTTTTTTGGCAGCAAGATAGAGCAAACAGCACAAAGGGAACTGAGAAAATCCTTCCAGTGAAGCTGTAGTCTCCTTTCTGTTCCCCTAAGGACAGAACCCTCTAAGTGTAGCTTACAGCACACGCTGTCCTGCCACCTTGCTGGAAGGTGTTTGATTCCAAAAGGAACTGGGGTGCTCGCAGAACCCAGCCCAGCAATTTCAACCTCAAAAAAATCAATCTCCTACCTTTACCACCAAAAATACCACAACGTTTTGCAAATGAAATCACTGTTCAATTTGAGTGGGTGTGTTATTTCCAGACAGTTGTGTCAGCTTATTGGCTCAGCTACAGACTCCGATCTGCACAACGTCTGTTCCCCGACGCGTTCGGATGCTTTGTCCCTCTTGGTCCCACATACAAATAGATGCAACCTGATTCTCAGTGTTGCACCTAAGAGAAAGAAGCCCCTTCTTCCTGCAGCTTCCCACCTCATCACCATGCAGCTCGGCATCTCGCCAACACCTCTTGAGCCAGAGATGAGCACTGCATCCCCAAACTGTGGACAGTGCAGACACAGAGACGACTGAGCCAGGCTGCACCACTTAGCAGAACTTTGATCATAATGAGCACGGCCACATTGCTGCCCGCAGCCCTTTAGGTGCAGCCACAGCACAGACAGGTTTGCATGGTGCTGAGCTCAGCGGGACCCAGACCATCCCTGTGGAGTTCAGGCTGAGCCGTGCTGTGCAGATGTTCTCACGTGAAGGCGCTCTGCTCTCCTTCACCTCGTTCCTTATTTTAAGTACATGTTGGAGGAAGAGGTCCTTCAGTCATGTTCACAGTGCACACAGATCAGATCCCAAAGCGCTCTACTTAAGCCTTCGGAAAGTCCCACATCACCTTCCAGGATCTCTCCATCAACTACATTTGTCTGCCCAAAGATCTCACAGCTGCCCAGCGGCTCTTGGAGCTCATCTCAGCTCCCTTAGTTTGCTGGAACTCCAACAAACTATTCATGCTATCCCAGGTTGGACACCTGGGAAAGGCAGCCCCAGTACGTGGCTAAGGATGGCCACCTTGTTCAGTTTCCCACAAAGTGTCCCAGCAAAACACAGCCAAGGACTCCTAGCCATGACAAAGGGTTTTTAAAATCACATCACTCAGCACCCAGAGCATGATTTCCTTCTGTCAGCAGGACGTGCAAACACAGCTTCTCACAAAGCCCAGCAGGAAGGTGGCTGCTTCCCAGGGACTGCCTTGCAGTGGGAGGCACCTCCACGAGGATTTGTAGCTGCCAAACCTGAGAACAAAGGGGAGATTCTTTGTTCCTCCTTCCAGGACACACACCTGGCCACCAGCTGATGGATGAGCCTCCGGTGGCAGCTGTGCCACCGTCACTGTGCACAGAGCCAACTCCAGGGGTAGGGTATCCCCCGAACTCATCACCCACAACCTAGCACCAGCCCTTAGGTGAACTCCAAACCTCGGCATTACAGAAGAAGGGCAGGAAACTCAAACACCATCATCTTGGAAAAGGAAGAGAGAAAAAAATCAAGATATATTTTGGCTGTTTTCTGTGTTGGTTTCTCCATTTCCCCCTCTCGTGCATTTTCTGCAGAGGCAATCTGTCCTTTCCCTAAATGCTGAGCAATCCCAGCACAGAACTAATCAATATTAATGGCGATGGGACCGGGGGTGGGAGGAGAGGAGGGATTAACGTGACCTTTTTAAACACGCGCTGCCTCAGACGGTCACCGAGCAGCTGAGGAGAAAGCAGCCAGACGGTAATGCCATGTGCTTTCAGTAGCTTTGCTTTGGCTTTTTTTGATGGTTTGTTGTTTTTTTGTTTTTTTCCCTGTGAATATTTGCTTCTGTTGTCTCAGAGCAGATAGGAATAGAATCAGGTTGTCTTAAGGAAGGAAAAGGTATCCGCCTGCCAGCACCCGCAGGCCGATCATCCTTGCTAGAACCTGTGCTGAGCTCAGCAGAACAATGCATGGAATGGATTTTAGCTTGAATTCCTATTAAAAATGGGAACTGGATGAGGGATGGTTTGCCAGTGCAGCATTTAATGCTGGTGTGCTTTATGAGTATCTGCTATATGGGGTCCAATCGAACGCACCGACTCAAATATTGAGTGCGAGAGCAAACAAAGGACCCTGCGAAGCAGCCCTCCTACTGTCGGGCACAAATGCACACAGCAGCTAATCCCCCCCGCTGCGGGACCGACCTGGGGCAGTGTACTCAGAATTACAGAAAAAGCCTATTAATGAAAACAAAACCGTTATTGAAACTATTTGTGCATGTCGGATTCGTGGCTTACTGCAGAATTTCTGGGTATCAGCATTCCTCAAAGTAGCAGTTCAGGTCAGGAGGTGCTGTGGGTTATTCTCTGAATGCATTGTCTGTATTTAGTTTTCTTTCTGTGTTCCAAATGTGACTTCTAGAAACTGATGCTGAGAAATCTATATTAAATTCTACTCATGTCTTTCCTCTTCTGCTCTGAGAGCACCAAGCTTTGGGGAGCGGTCCCAGATTGAGGCGTGAGATCTGTGTTTGGTTTTGAATGAACATTTTTACTGCATTTCTTCACTTTTGCAGCAGGCTTTGCCTTGCAGATGGCTGATAGCACAGCACGAGCTAACAGAGCCGGGTGTGCTTTCCCTTTCTTTGTCAGGACCCACCATGTCTGACAAACCAGATTTCGCAGAAATTGAAACCTTTGATAAGACCAAGCTGAAGAAGACAGAAACAAGAGAGAAAAATCCATTGCCCACCAAAGAAAGTAAGTGCTTGTGGGGCTCTTTGAACCGAGAGCAGCAGAAACATCAGCCCGTATTGCAGCTAACGTGCAGAATGAATAGCGATCATCCCTGATTTAAAGGGGGACAATACTAAGAGTTGTGCTAAATGTTGAGTTTCCAAAGGTAGGAGCAGCTAAACCCAATTGTGCTTTTTGTGTGGAAGTAATCTGATGGTAACATACCTTGCTAAAAGCAAAGATAATGGGATAATGGGACATACCTGCACAGGTGCTCAGAAGGGGAGGCAGTGTCCCAGGAGGGGCCTGGCCCTGGTTTGGCACATCAGAGCTGTGGGAATAAAGCAGCAGCAGAAGCCCATCACCACCTTTCTCTAACAGGAAACCTCCCTGAGCACAGGGTTGCAGTACCAGGCTTTTGCCTTCCCCAATGCCTGTGCTGTACCAGATGCTGTCTGCATTTCCCATTCAGTTTTGGTGTGAAAATGGCACTTCCCTGCTCTTGGACCAGGCTTTGGGAGCAGGCTCTCTCTGAAGAGCACCGCTAGCCACAAAGGGCGCCATTAAACTAATATTCTATCAGATGGTTTCTACTTGGGGTCTGTCAGTGCTGGCAGCCACGGGGACACACTGCTCCCCCAACAGGAAACCCACTCTGCCCCAGTTTGTTGTCCCTGCTGATGTTCTGTCTGTCCTACAAGAGGAAGATGCAACATCACAAAGTGGACCTCGGTAGCAAGGCAGACAAAAGAATATGTCAGAATTTTGGGGCGGTCAAATCCAGTGGGGATTTGCCACCACTCAGCACAGAGACCTGTTTTGCCCCCAACCCTTGCAGTGCTGATTGACAATGGTTTTGTTCTCTGCATTTTTCTGGCAGCTATCGAACAAGAAAAGCAAAGTGAGAACGCATCCTGAGCGTCAGAGAGATGATGTGACTGCTGCTTCTCCGGTGGGGTTTGGGCTTCTGCGCTGGGTTTTGTTCTGTTTTGTTTCCCCTCCCTTCCACCTTCCCCTCAGTGCTCATTATCCATTTCATTTATTTCATTTAGCAAACACTCCTTTCATGTTCCCGGGAAGAAGTTTGTTTTGTATTTGTTGCTCTGTATTCTTAAAATGGGAATTCAAAGTTCTGTACCACACCCATCACTTGGAAAAAAACAAAAAAACAAACAAAAAAAAACAACCACCAACTGCATAAAAATGTTTTCCTAAACCTCACAATGAAGAAGTTTCTTCCATCCAGCTGTGTTTGAGACTTTACAAATAGGAGTTGCTGTGTAAATCCAACAACAAAGGTAGCTGTGACTGTGGGCAGCAGCTCTGCTCCGCCTGCACAGGGGACGTGCTGATGGCATCTGCCTTCATCTGACCACACCAAATGCAAGAGGGCATTTCAGGGGAGCTCCAGGGAGCAAACCTTACATTCTAACAGGTCTTACCTTTGGAGAAGGGTGTGAATAAGATGGGAACGCGTTAGCTTGTTTCAGTCCTATCAAACAGCAGGTTGGAGGTCTCCAAGACAAGCTGATGCCTGGGTTGAGGAAGGACTCCTATCAGGAGCTCAGGTGGGAATGGCTGCAGCTCTCTCACTGGTGTTCTGCCCTTGTTAGCCTATCAAGATCCAATCAGCCTTGGTACAGCCCTTTGCCCACCTGATACCAAGCAACATGGGAATGCTGGAAGGTCTCTGGGCAATAAAGAAAAGAAATTCATTGTAAAATTATTACTGCATTGATTTTCTGGGATGTGAGACACCTTTGGCAGCAAACAGGCATGCAACAAACCCTCAGAGCAGACAAGGTATCCTTAAGTCTTCAATACTAATGCTGCAGAAACACCCCTCTGGGCTGGGTAGAGCTCAACAGAAGTCTGCTCCGGTCTCACTCTGTTCTCAGTTATGTGCTATTGTGTTAGCTCTGGAATTAGTTGCAGTCATATCAGGGGGATACATGATTAATTTGAGTAGATACACTGCTGCCACCAGGGCTGCAGCCTGGTCCTACCTGCACAAGGAAAGGGGATAACTGAGTGTGTATCCACTCAGCAGGGACACTGCATGTATGGCTGAGGGAAGTGCAGCTGGCCTACAGGCTCCAGGGAACGGGAACGAATGGTTGACATGGAAGGCTCTCACTACACAGGAGTTGTTTGACAGCTGACACTGAAAGTGAATCACAAGATCTGTAAATAAATTAAAAGAGCATAGCCACAAAATGGGCAACATTCCCTAGCAACAAAGGTAAATGGTGACCAAGAGACCAAGGGGAACACATTATGTGCAGGGCTGGTAACTTCAGAGCTTCATTCACCTCTGTGTTACCCAAGGGGGAGGGTGGTATGCTTCCACCCAGGGGCTGGGAGCTTGGCCTTGGCTAAATATCTGTAGTGATGGCAGCCCGGTGGTGGAGACAGCATTTAGAACTGGTACGGAGAGAACAGCCCCTGCTGGCAGCCCGCACTGCTAAGAGCATTCAGACAGATTAACCACTGCTTTTCTGCACAACAGTTTTGGCAACCAGCACGCACCACAACCACACTCAGCATGTGAGCCTGAAGACTAAACTTGCTTCATTTTCTTGTGCCAGAAGACAGCATTCTGCTCCACATGACAATCTCCCTTGTTCCCTGCCAGCTCAGAGCATCTGCCAACTTGCTCAGCAGAATACGTGATAAATCACCCAAAACTCTGCGTGCAGTGGAGCCGATGGGAAGCACCCACACCCCCCAGATCCCAAAGTCTGTGCTGTGCTCTCAGGCAGCAGGAAGGGAAACAAGGTCTGGCCAAAGGAAGAAAACAATAGAGATATTCTTCTCTTTGCTTGCCCAGAAGCCAAGGATTAGCAGTGCTGCTCTGAGGACAGAGGCAAAAGGCCAAAGCAGCCCACAGCACCAGAGGCACCAGGTTTGTCCCAGCTGTTGCTGCCCCAAGCTCACACTGCTCCCATGAGACCTCTTCCCAGCTGAGCTACTTGCCCTTAGCGCCCAGTACACTACACTCAAAGTCTTAGCACTTTTATTTGTGTGACTTACCCATCTAGGAAGGCTTTGGAGCCAAGGACAGCATCAGCCCAGTTCCCCAGCCCTGGGCTGCAAAGCTTTCCAAGTTACAGCAGAGCTCACAGCAGCTGCACACCACAAAAGGCTCTGCAAGGATCGAGGCCACAGCTCACCCAGCACAGACACTGCAGGCTGGCATATTTGGAGGCTGCTTCTTCCACCATCAGCAGCTCAGAGAGACTTGAAGTTGAAGGCATGCAGTCACAGGACCCCAAGTTAAGAAGTGTCCTCCCCTGTTGCAGTGTGAAGTCACTGCACCAGGAGACTAAGATTCAAAAAGAGGAGGGCCAGGTCTGGCTCTCTGTTATCACAGTCAAACAGTATTACAGCCTTTATCTGCAGGGCAGGCTGAGGGCACAGACCAGGAAGTTGCTGATTACCTGCGGCCAAGACCAAGGCAGAGTGAATGCTGATCATTCCAGCCCCTCTGCTGGGGAAGTGTGTCCTGCCAACCACACTGAGCACCTCAGGTGCCCCTAGGAAACATCTTAAACTGCTCTGAACCCCCATCTATAGCTAGGCTCACTGATAGCATCCACTCTTAGTACCCAGACCTTCTCCAGCTTTCTGCAGGCAGGGCTGACCTGAGCCACCTCTTCCACAAATCTTGCCCACCTCCAGGTGGGGAACTTAAGGGTTGGGGCTAATTAGCTGAAGAGCAACAGGCCTTTGCTGTTCAGATGCTTTACATAATGAGACAGTACCTTAGGGATCTTCCAAAGGAAAAAACACCTTCGGTGCTAATCCCATCACAGAAAAAAAAAGAATCATATGTAGACAAACACCAGCATTCTTGGCATTGCCATAGAGCCAGCCTTGTCCCCTTGTGAGTCACTGCTAGTTGATTTGCACAGCCACAGTGAGCCCTGGCTGAGCAGAGGAGATCTGCATTCCTCTTGTTATTATACAGAAGATACTTGATCAAACAAGGCTCGTTAGGCAGGTGTTTGATAACAGGGAAAGGCAGGGAGGACAAACCCTGAACTTGCTGAGTTCCAGTTTAAGCTCACCTACAAACCATAGGGGAATCCTGATGACTCCAGTTCCAAAATACACTTTTTTTCCCCCAAAATTATTTTTTAATGTGGTGGCTGAGGTGTCTGACAGCATAATGCTCGCACCAGGCTCGAGGAGCTGGAGCTTTGGGGAAATATTCCATTGTGCTTCTGCTAAATCTATGGGCTCCTGACCTGACAGAGACTTCTCCTGCTACTTGAGGAAGAGGGGAGAGGAAAGCAGGGAATGTGTAAGGGAGTGAGCACAGGGACACAATGTCAGCAGGGTCTAAACTGCAGCTGCATGGGAAGAAAGATGGAAGGGAGCTGAAAGCACAGCTGAGGAGGTGCCCAGTGTGGCCAAAACCCAAGTCAGAAGCAGCACGGGCAGCTCTCCTGCCCCTGTCCAGCTCACTCATTGTCTTCCCAAAACCATGGGATGAAAACAATGGCCCCTAAAAAGCACTGACCTGGCAGTGCCAACCTGGACCTCCTCTGCAGCAGGGAGGGAGCAGAGCTGCTGCCTTCCCTCAGCCAGGCACAGGCAGCCACAGTCCCACAGTGTGCTGCACGTCCTGCACCCAGCACTGAGTATGGAGGAGCAGGAGTTCTTGTGCAGCTGTGTTATCCTGATCCAACGCCATGCCTCTCAAGCTGGCAGCGGGCTGAGCTTTGCCTCCCACTGCAGCTCTGCGCCAGGCCAGGCATCTCCACACACCTCTGTCATTTCAGGACAGACCATTCAGGAAGGAGCAGTTGCTGGGGATGGTTTGTGCACATCTTGCATATCGTGCTGACAACAACTCTTGAAAGCTCCTATGATAAACTGCAAATGTTCTGATGCTGCATGTTTTCTGCAAGGCCCTCCACGATTCATTCAGTTGATGGAGGAGTGTGTGTGGATGGGGTCCAGCAGCAGGCACCAAACAGAATGAAAGAGGATCTCAGAGCAAACCAACCATCTCAGGCATCTGAAGCCAACTGCACCAATTCAGAGGCTGATGCTGTGAAAATATTTGCATTTGGCAAAGTTGCAGCAAGCAGGGCGGGAGTGAGGGATGTGTGACTCCAAGTGGGTGTTTTCAAACAGCATTTTGTTTGGGGAAAATAATCCCTCTTGGTCTGCTTTGTTTTCTCATGGTGCTGGAAACAATTCTCCTCCTCAGTGGAAAGAATTGGGTTTTTCTGTTGCTGTGTCCCTGACTGGGAGCCAGCAAAGGTTGTGTGGCCAACCCTCCTGCCTTGCTAGCACTGGAGAGGTCACCTCCAAGAGTTAAAGAAACACAAGCTGGGCCCCGTATCACGTATTTGGTTTAGCAATAAGAAAACAGGTACACATGAACCCCCCTGGGTGCCCTGGAGCAGCAGCATTGCTCTGGGGAGTCCTGTGCAGGGAGAAGGATCCACCACAGCTCCGACTGCTGCCAAAGCTCTGCCACAGCACAGCCTGCACTCAGCTCCTCCTGCTTTCCCTGTGCCCTGTGCAGCCTCCTATCGCAGCACCAGCCAGGCAACCCGAGCCCTCAGCTCCCACCTGCACAGCCCTCAGCAGGCAGAGGCGCATGGCGAGGACAGGCGTTGTGGGATGGAGGCGTGGAGCAGCTTTGGTAGCAGCTGCCATTCTTCCATATGTGCCCAGGAAAGCTTCAGCAGCATCAGTCCAGGGGGAGATGGTATGGTCCAGTGCAGGGAAAGCCGCAGTCGCCATTTTATGTCAGTGGTGCACAAGCAGGAAGGAAACAGAAGAGCTTAACCTAAAATAGCCCTCGGTGTGCAGAATGAGCCGAAAAATCTGAACCCCAGAGCCACGCTCGGACAGCAGGGCGGCCGTTTGTAACACGGGGTGAGCACACAGAGCGGCAACACCCGTCTACGACTTCGGTCTCTGCTGCAGAGCGTGCCCTGGGGCCGACCTGTGGGAAAGGCCGCTCGCCGAGCTCGGCGCCCGGTGCCGCCCGCCCTGCCGGCCGCACACAGCGGGCCGCCCCCAGGGGGAGCCCCGGCACCGCCCGGACGGATCCGGGCCCGGCGCTCCGTGCGCTCGGAGGGCAGCCCTGGGAGACCTCAGCCCGCAGAGGGCCCTAACGGTGTCTGAGGGGATGATGAGGAGCCTTTGTGCAGCTTGGAACCTGTAAAGGCTTAAGGCTGCTTTAGTAAGGCCAGAGAGCCTGCCCCGAGTCGTTGCCTCAGGTGACACTGGGAACATCTCTTCCCACCTCATCTAGTAATAAACGCACGGCACTAGCTTCACCTGCAGGCTGATTGAAGCCTCTTATGAACGTGCTTCTGGGAATGCAGGACCAGAAACAAAGCTCTCTTCTCGCTGGGCTCTTCCCAGCAAGACTCAGAACTCTTAATGTTTCTTTCCACCCCAACTTCCCCAGAAAGACATTGCAGTTTTGTGTGCTCCTCTGCCCGTGAAAATATTCACGGCTCAAATCATCACTTCCATGATACCGAAATCTGCCCCCATTTGCTGCCAGAGCCACCACCCGCTGCCCTGCACAGCCGCGCACCTCCAGCTCCACAGCACGGCTATGTGGGCTCAGGGTTTCCCCAGGACACAAAGTGGGTCAGGGCAGGAGGGGAGGCAGAGCCACAGCCACTGAGGGACATGTAGAGACTGGTGGCGTGCAGAGCCGTGGAGCACCACACAAGCAGTGTTATTCATCAGTTCATTTAGCTCAAGTTTGAATGGGAATGATGAAGAAGGAGGCGATAATTTTCCTTCATATCAGGGGCCTGATCTCTTCCTGGACAGGAGTTTATCTGCTGAGGTGCTGCATTTGCGGAATGGGAGATACCCACATACCCATGGAGTAACCTATGTGCTGCACTAACACTGCTTTGCATGACACTTCCTCTAACGAGGGAGAGGAAAACAAAACTTCTGGCACTGCTTTATCGTGCTGATGCATAAACAGCCCCGTGGGCTTTGAAGGACACACCTGGAGGAGCAGATGAGGTGAGGCCCATTAGGTCACAGTGCTGAGGCATGGCAAACTAAAGGCTGGAAACGTGTGTCTTATCCTGCTCTGCTCTTCATAGCAGCTCAAGCAGAAGGACTAAGCTGGTTGCCCAAAAGTATCTTTATCTCCTCTTAGGATGCTGCAGAGAAAGAAGCGCAGAGTAGCCATGGGGATTTACCCATCCAGCTCTTGGGAGGATGGGCAGACAGACCTCAACAGCCCTTCCCAGGGGGAGATGCTGAGTGAGGAGCAGCTTTGGTCTGCTATAGGGAGATCTGAGGCCACGAGAATGGGATTTCTGTGCACACACACGGGGTGGCACAGCAGGGCTCTTACCAGACTGCAGTCTGCCTACTGCCCCCATGCTGAATGGGGAACAGCTGCCTTGGGGATCTAGAAATGGGTGAGGTCATGGAAACAGAGTGGAGAAATCAATGGGGAGAGAAGGTAGCGGGGAAGGACAGATTTAAAACATGTGATGCAAAACTGGTGAGAAGGACAGGGAAGAAATGCCCTTTATCTGCTTGCAAGTGAAATAGCCTTGCTCTTGCCAGAAGCAACATCCCAGCTTGCTCCTGAGCTGAAGTCTCCATTTCGAAGCCCAAACTGTGCAACCTCACACCTCCTGTGGTTCTTTAAAGATCTGATGGTCCTGTAGTATATTCCAGGAGGCATCTCCTTCAATAGCAGAGCCTCTTACATTGGAGTTGCTCATTCTGGGCTTCCCTGATGAAGTTCACTGCTTGCCCCACCACGCAGTGCATGAGGCTATGTTGGGAATCAGGATTAAAAACAAAAAACTGGTTGCATTGTTACAACTGAGAGAAACGAGCCGCTGCATGGAGGCAGGAGACAGGAGCTTCTCATTTGGTCGCAACAAAGTGTACCCTCCAACTGCACTGCTGGGCTTTTAAGCCTTCGTTCAGTGAACATGAGCCCACTTCTAATTATGTACCAACATAGGGATCAAGAGGACTGAGCCTGCAGGGTAGGTGTGGCACAGAATCTAATTTCAGTTTCACCCAATCTTCAATTAACATTCCTTAACCAAAACATGTTCGTTATTCAGGCAAAATTCCCCCCAGCACCGGCAGGACGAGGGCTTGGGTCCTGCAGGCTGCTCCTGCAGCTGGGAACTGCAGCAGACAAAGCAGACATGAACCTATTTTGCCCACTATGGGAAACCTGGTGTCGGGAAGACTGAAAAACAAGAGCTGAGCATTCAGGGCACTTATTTAGTGCTCATGATGGATCATTCTGGAGCAAAACAAAACACTCCCGTGACAGAGAGACTGTGCAATCCAAGGGTATGGCATCACCTTGGGGGCTTGGGTGGCTTCCTGGGGAGAGCACAATAAAATGCAGCAGCTTCCGGCGCTGCTGACAAGGGGGTGTCTCTCTAATTACCCAGGTGGATTTTATTGTAATGGAGCCAGCAATGCAGGATTTGACGCGAGGGGTCTGAATGTATCACCTGCCCAAGGCAATTTAGTGAGCTGTCTGTGCTTTATCTGTTGTTCTCCATGCCAGCAGTGCTCGCTCCCCTTGCTGCTCCCTGCACTCGTGACCCCCACACGGCCCATCCGTGTCTCTTTGCATGGGCTTCTACATGCAGCATTTGTATGATCTGATTTGCCTCGTGTCTGCCTTCCTTTAAATGCCATATTCTGATGTGAGTAGGGTTTCATGAGTACACGGGGTTGCAAAAACACAGAGTCTCGTGGGGCAAAATATTTCAGGACTCCCATCATCTCACAAAAAGCACTGACTGTTGGGTCATGTAGCGAGAAAATAAGAAACAAAGCATCACTAGTTGGTCAGTAAAGCCAAGGGGCTCTGGCCGACATCCAGGGCACCGATTCCCAACCAGCATTCCCTGCTCAGCTGTTTGCAGCAGCACCGAGCCTCTGCTTGTCCCACCAACCCCACGGCTTGGGGCTTCGAGGACCGCTGGCCATTCGTTTTCTGCACTACCAGGTAAACAAAGGAGAAATTTTGCTTTCAGATTTTTCTTTCCCTACGAGTTTCTAAGGAATGGGAATGCCAAAGGAAAACTCCTCCAGCATTCTGCAGCTGAGCTGTATGGCTCGGTGAGCACAGGCTTTTCCCATGGTGATGGATGAGCCAGCACTACCCCACAACCTGGGGAGCAGAACACTGAAATCAGCTTTGGAATAACCACAGCCAATGCAGCTCTGCCATTTACTTTGAGATTTTATGCACATCAGCCTCTGTACCTCAGTTTACCCAATCAAAAAGCAGAGACTGCTACATTTAATCTCTCTTCCTGCAAGAGCACTGAGCAAAGCACTTTATAAGTGCAAAATTTATCAACACAGTAGGAGCAAAGCCTGCTTAACCATAATGTCTGGGTGGTGGGGAAAGTCCTCCAGCAAAACCAGCATCCCAGCCCATGGGTCTGAACAGGCCGACAAATCCCCAGAGCAGGAAGGCTCATCTGTGCACAGCTCTCCATTTGCTGACAGCTAGCAAAAGTGACAACATTACAAGTGACTTTTAAGATCCCGTGGCTTTAATAGGGAAAGATGTATTTTAACAGCCCAGGCAAATAACTGTGCGATGCTGCCAACTGCAATGAGTGCTTGCAGCCACGCTTCACGCCCAGAGAAGCTGTTATTTTTCTGGCATTAGATAGGAGGATCATGTGTGAGCTGACATAACAGACACGCCAAAATTGTTCAGCTGTGCAGGCTCTCCCAGACAAAATACCCCAAAAAAACCAACCAACCAAAAAACCGCCAATATGCCCCCAGGGACAGACAGACGCAAAGCCTGAAATGACATGTGTGCATCTAGAAAATGCACAGCAGATTTCCAAGTCATATGCACAGGCTTCAATCAATGAACCTCGCTGATACATGGGAAACACTTCATTCCCAGTAATTGTCCTTTGACAGCTCTAACAAGTAGGATCTGCTCGGGATGGTAATGATTACAGTGCTGACTCACAGAGGGTTTTGCCGTGCTGGCAGCAGCGCAGCAGCATGGTGCTCACTTGGAAGGCATTTTGCATTTTGAACCAATCTGCATTTTTAATCCAACGGTTGTTGGTGGCTTTGCGGTGCTGACTCCCGTTTCCCTCCAGCAGGGGCTGGATGGGGATGTTCCTCTCACTTATTGCCCAGCAAGGGGAGTGAGCTGGGGGTGTTCCTGGACTCCCCATGATCGGGAGCTCCATGTGGGCTCTCACCGTGCTCACACACACACCATGGGCAGATCAGTGGGCACATTTGAGGCACAGTCTGCTCCTGCCCCTGATACAGCCCAAGCTTCCACTTTGCAGCCCCTCAGCACATCACCTTGCAGCAACAGCAGGAGCCCAAATGTCAGCACCCTGATGGGGAAATGAGAGCAGCGGGACAAGGACAGCCCTGCGCAGGGTGAGCCAGCCTGCCTGGGGCTGCTCAGCCACAGGAAAACCACCCGAGAAGTTTCCATGAACAAAGTCTTGCTGCTGCTCCATTACAGCTCCCGCAGCCCTTAATGACCGTGACTATGAAGAGGCCTTTTGGTTTTCCTCTGATAAGGATTTTCCCTTCCAAGCACACGGGGTTGAAGCGGAGGGGCCGAGGCAGCGCTCACGTGCACGGAGCAGCCAGAAGCCAGGGCAGACCTCGCTGCAGGGAAATCGCAACCCCCGGAAAACTGTTCCCCTAATTACAGCCTTGAAGCATGGAGCAAACCACATAAGTGATTCACACAGCGTTCCCAAGCTGCAGCCGCGTGAATTGGAGAGATTTCCAAACGCTGCCGCGACGTGCACACTATTATCAGGATGGAAATACGGAAATTTTCATCATAAGGAGGCGAGGAGGGGGAAAAAGCCACCATTAAATGAACCTCTTCGTGTCAAGAAGACCTGGGAGGTGTGTCGCTGGTGGATCTGTGTAGGATACAGAGCTCTCATGGCAGGGAGCAGGCTGGCAAGGAGCTGTAGAAATTCTTGGGTTTGTTATCGCAGAGCTCGGGGCCCGGCCTCTGCTTGCGAGTGGGGTGTGAAAGGGAGCAGGCAAGTGCACTTGGGGAGGGAGAAAGGGATGGAGCTGGTGTGGAGTGGAGTTAAAAGTGGCCCATTGTTAGGGAAGTTTGCTTTCCTCACATCATCACAGCTCCCAGTGACACCGCTCTGCCTTTTGAAGTGCAACATTAGGCGTTTCCTTGTCACCCATTGGTGAGGGAGCTTTTTTACCACATTAAGTCATTGGGTAGCAAATGAATGGGGGGTTTTGACTATTCAGAACTTCACCTTATAAATATCAGGGTTGCAGGTTCCTGCAGCTTTCCTGGACCCGAATATCTGGAGATACACTGGGACGCGGCGAGGCAGCCTTGCCAGGGACCTGCGGGATCAGCGGAGGGAGCCGGGTTCCACACTGACAGCCATGAGGGGCAGCACCTTCCTCCTCCTCTCCATCGTGGGCATCTCTGGGGCTGTTCTCAATGCAGCAGCGTGGTAGGTTTCAGGGTGCATGGGGGATGCTCTTGAGCCTGTGTTAAATGGCGCGGCTCATTTTCCTTTCTTTGTTTCAGGTCGGTGAATAACTTTCTGATGACAGGACCTAAGGTAATTAACACAGGCACCATCAATAATTTAAGCAGAGCGATTTTGTTTTGCAAATGGGAAATACTGCTTTTCTAGGGAACCAGATTTCCCAGAGCATACCAGCTCCGAGTCCTGTTGAGGCAAAGGACCTGCAACCCGTGTATGTCTGTTGTCACAAATAAATGCTAAGAGACAAGGCCCTGACACTGCTCTCCATGCAGGCGTACCTGACGTACTCCAGCAGCGTGGCGGCGGGCGCACAGAGTGGGATGGAGGAGTGCAAGTTTCAGTTTGGATGGGAGCGTTGGAACTGCCCTGAGAGCGCCCTGCAGCTCTCCACCCACAACCGCCTGCGCAGTGGTGAGTGCCTTGAAATGAACAACCTGGTGATGAGGACGGTTTTCTGACCCCTAAAACTTACGCTTGCTTTTTTCTGTCTGCATTCATCTTCCTAAGAAACATAGCTAGTGTTTCTCCTGTGGTCCCAGGTTCGTTCTGGGTATGCATCTTCTCTAAGCCAGAGCTCAGCCCTGCCTGCAGCACTGGTCTGTGCAGCATCACAGAAAGCGCTGCTCTGGGCACCGAGCTGGCAATGGGGAAGAGCAGGGAAGGGAGAAACCGAGGACGTGCTCTAGGAAACTGCCTTCAAGGGAAAGTTGTGGGTATATTTGACTGCTATCTACTTCAGCCAGCCATTGTTTCACCAGAGTGAAATTCTATTTAATAGAATCGTGGAATGGCTGAGGTTGGTAGGGACCTTAAAGATCATGGGGCTCCAACCCCCTACCACAAACCAGGCTGTCAACTACTCAATCAGGCTGCCAGGGGCACGCTGGCTCTGTTAGGAAAGCCTAAAAAGAAACTAAAACAGGAGCATGGATCCAGACTGCTGTTAGTACAGATCTGACTGCTGACTGTACTATCCCACTGTTGCTAAGAACCTCTGTCCCATACAGGGATGCTTGCAGAACATTGTGCCAAGCTGCTGAGGCTCTTGATGCTGAAGCCTGAAGCTACTCCAGGCAGGAGCATTTAAATTCTGTAGCATCTTACCTTTTGCACAGACTCTTTTGTTTTTCTCTTCTCGCTCCTTCAAAATGGCGATGGCTTCATAAGAGAGCTTCCTTCCCAATAAACAAGAACTGGTGTGTGACAGCTTTTCTCCCTTCTCCCTCAGCTACCAGAGAGACATCCTTTGTGCATGCCATCAGCTCCGCTGGTGTTATGTACACCCTGACCAGGAACTGCAGCATGGGGGACTTTGAGAGCTGTGGCTGTGATGACTCCAGGAACGGGCGTGTAGGTAAGATACTGACATGCATCCTGCTGTGACCGACCAGCAGTGAGATGGGCTGCCATCACCCCAGCCCCACTGCACTGCAAGTCCTGTGGCAGAACTCAGCCCAGTGGGGCAGTTCTGTTCTTACCGTCTTGTTTGCCTTGCAGGTGGCCGAGGCTGGGTCTGGGGAGGCTGCAGCGACAACGTGGAGTTTGGGGAGAGGATTTCCAAGCTCTTTGTGGATGCTTTGGAAACAGGACACGATACCCGTGCCCTGATCAACCTGCACAACAACGAAGTTGGAAGACTCGTAAGTCAAATATTCAAAAATATAATAGTAATTGTAGTAATACAAATATAATGATAATAATGTACGTCAGAAACAACATCAGACAGCCTAGTAAACTGTTCTGGTCCCCTTCTCCAGTAGCCTGTGACAATCTAGGCCTGGTAATATTTGTTGGGGGAAAAAAAAACATGGCCAGAATCTGACCCTAAGCCTGAACAGGAGCTGCAGTAAGATCCATTTCCTCCTCCAGCAGCTGTGTGCAGCACAGTTAACTACTAATGCCATTTATTCAGAAATGCACCAGTTTCTTGCTCACATCCATAACACAAGAACCAGCCCACATTCCTGCAGTGGGTTTTTGCAAGCTGCTCAGCAGGGAAGCTGGCTGTGAGGATGAGCTCGGTACCCAGCCCATGGAGGCACAGTGGCTCAGGCCAGACCTTGTCTGTAAAAACAAGGACAGCAGCACTTAGCATACCTATCTCATAGGGTGTGTCGAGGCGTAATCTCACATAGATACCAGTGATTGGGACCTTATAAATACCTGAGGGAGATGAGTAGATAATAGCTGTGAAGTGCTCGGCCTGGAGGAGATGCACACAGGCTCTCTGTTGTTACTCCAGTGCATTTCACACATTCTGAAGGAGGTCTGTGCGAGGTGATGGGTTGATGTGCCAATGAGCAAGATGAGTCGCAGACTGGGACGTGCCAGGAGGGTATGACCCTGCCTCTACCCTGGCCAGAGAAGGGCTGGGGGCAACAGTTTGTGCCTGCTCCTTATCTCCATCTTTTAATTAGTGATGAGGACAGATGTTTGCCTAGAGCTGAGATAAAAGCATCAGTTTGTGTCTTGGAAGGACCTGAAATCCTGTGGCACAAGTCACGTTTGACCCATTCCTCGCCACAGTAGAAGTGCTATATATTGAGATTTGAAAGGCGATGACCTGCTGCTTCCAGCTTCTGCCCCTTTTCCTCTCAGGCTGTGAAAGCCACGATGAAGCGAGCCTGCAAGTGCCACGGGGTGTCAGGCAGTTGCAGCATCCAGACATGCTGGCTTCAGCTCGCCGACTTTCGGGAGATCGGCAACTACCTGAAGATGAAATACGACCAAGCCCATAAGCTGGAGATGGACAAGAGGCGGATGAGAGCCGGCAACAGCGCTGACAGCCGTGGGGCCACTGCCGAGACCTTCCACCACGTCCACTCCACGGAGCTCGTTTTCCTGGAGGACTCTCCTGATTACTGCACGAAGAACGCCAGCCTGGGCCACCACGGCACCGAGGGCCGCGAGTGCCTACAGACCGGCAGGAACCTCTCGCAGTGGGAGCGGAGGAGCTGCCGGCGGCTCTGCACAGAGTGCGGCCTCAAAGTGGAGGAGAGGAGGACAGAGGTGGTCAGCAGCTGCAACTGCAAGTTCCACTGGTGCTGCACGGTGCGCTGCGAGCAGTGCCGGCAGCTGGTGGCCAAGCACTTCTGCTCCCGCCGCGATGCCGCTGTTGCCAACCACACCAAGCGGCGGAACAGAGGCCACAGGAGATAGGGGGAGGCCGGCAACCAACCGCTTGCCAGGCGGGACCTGTGGGTTTCTCCACCTGTGGCGGCCCTCATCATAACTGAGGGAAGGAGCCTTGCCCGGGGAAGTCACTTATATCAGACAGAGGGAAGAATTTCACTTTTTTGGTGGGTTCCACGCGTTGCACTGCCGCCAGCCAAGGTCAAGCAGTGTTAGCGTGAGTGGGACGGGCACCACGGCCAGGGTTGGTCCTGTTGGGCTTCTCCATTTCTGTGCAGGCACCACAACCCCAGCACCCCTATTTCTGCACAGGCGTTGCTTGGAAGCACTCCTGATGGGGAAACTTATGCACTTTGTGATGTGAGAGGGTTTTCTGAGTGCTGCTGTTTGTATTAGCACAGCTGCAGCTTTTTGAGGGTATCAGTAGGTTTAAGGACTGTGTTTACAGGGTTGCTTTTTACTTTTAAAATGCTGTGGTTCGGTACCAGACCCTCTACCTGAATGGATAACAGCTTCATGTGTTTGTACCAGGTGAAATTAATTTGTTTACAATTCCTTTACTTTTTTAAAAAACAACATAGCAAATAAGAATTCAGAACTCTTTATGCCTAATGCTGCTTATTAAGAAGCTGAATTGTTGCTTAGCACAATCTGTTTTCTCCATACATTTTGAAGGCATCCCTAAAGAGTTAGATGTCAGCCTGTATTTTGCAATAAACACAATAATGAAAACAAGTGGCTTTCTCCTTTCAGACTTCCCAGCAGAACTTCAGGTGTAAAACCACCCATTTCCAAAGCTCAACACTTCCCAGATTCCTCATCACAAATCCAAGAATCCACCAAGAGGCCTTTTCTTTCCCAGACCTCAATGAAACCTGGCCACAGCCATAACTCCTTACAGGGTTTGCAGTAACAGCCGTGCTGCAGCACTGGCCAGAGCCCATTTTGAAGCTCCGATGCCCCTTTAATTTGTCTGTAGCCTCACGTCCCCAGACAGCGAGAGGCAGCCCTGCTTTGATGTGGAAAGCACCAGCACTGCTGCAATATTCTCCCAGGCAGAGAGGAGCACTTTGAACTCAGGGCAGGGGGGAGAAAACCTGAGGCCAGTTGTGAATGCGCCTGCGGCTCAGCTCCCCTGTTGCTCCCCTGCTGCTCAGTGGGAGACCTGGTGGGATCCTCCCTTGGGCAGCCCCGGGGGTCTCAGCACTGGGGGGAGCAGCAGAGCACACCTTGCACTCACGCTTTGATGCTTTGTGTGCCATGATGCTCCCAGAGCAAATACAGCCTCTGCTCAAGGTGCAAAACACAAACTGGGAGCAGGGCTGACATGAGTTTATGTTTGCAACAGACAGTTTCCTGAAAGGGGGAAGGGCTACAGCAACCAACAATCAATTCTGGGGGTTTCTTTGCTCTTTCCAAAGCTCACATAGCTAGCAAACAAGCCACACCACCAGAGACAAAAAAAATCCACCAGCACTTTTTCAAGTGTTGCCACAACAGCATCTGTTTGCAAGCCACCAGAATTTAAGCTGAACTGGAAACAATACAAACAAGCAAACAAGAAGTAAGGAGATGTTATTCCAACAGCACAATTACAAGGCAGATACAGAGACGGTCCTGCTGCAGGGGAGGATCACAGTTAACATCTCACCCAGGTCACGTCCTCACAAGCCACCCCCTGTTCTCCCCAACCTGCAGTTTGTCGAGCTGGCACCTGGACCTGCTGCACTGCATCTGAATGCTGGAGATTGCTTTTTTTCTCCCTCAAATCAATTTGCTTTTTTTTTTTTTTAATTCCATTTACATTTCTGAAATTCAGACTATCTGAGGCAGCGTGATCAGATCTTATGCAAAAGCCAAAGACCACATGCAAAGTGAGGAGAGCCTGGGAGAAAGTTAAGTATCAGTCCGTGAGATCAATTTCCACTTCTTCACACCTTGCAGAGTGAACACTGAGTCTGACCAAGGACAGAAGACAACAGGGTGCCCTAGGGCCACATCTTGACACACATACTGCAGTACAGGTGGAGCAGAGCCCTCCTCTCCAGGATACAACAGCCATCATTTCTCACTACATTCCCTACAGAACAATAGAGATTCCAGGTCCAGATCCATCAGGTACTGTCAGGGAGCTCCCCAAACACTTGTTTTCTGTAACCACACACTGTGAGCACGAGGGCTAAGAAGCTGCAGGCTGCTGGCCAGGCTGACCTCACCATTTCAGACACGTTTCTATCAAAACAGCAAAATCTCACGTACCAGTTTTCAAGATAACTGATGACACACAGTAAAGTGAAGTCTTGTCAGCTGCGACTTGCAAAGACTCAGTCTCTATCCATAACACTGCAAAGGGACTGGTGGTGTCTTTAAACCTGAACATATTTACTCCTGATTAGCTGAAATCAAATAAAATTTAGGACATTGATCCCAACCACCCGAAATCACTTCATGTTTGTGAAGAAGGGGGACCTGGTTTTAGAAATGCTTGAGGAGGATCCTGATGGCTTTACCATAAGAAACATAACAATCCCAATTCCAATGAAAAAATAAACCAATTTACAGCAGATGCTGTATGAACTCAAACCAAAGTCCCAGTACCCCAGAGAGCTGCTGCTCAGAGCCCTGCCTGCTCACATCACCAACAAGGTGACTGCCAGCAAGATGCGCATCAAGCCTATTTAATTCACAACTTGATAGTAACGACAAGAGAGGGAAATGGAGCCAGGAAGGCTGCGTGCTGACAGATTGCTCACATGGCTCTTTGGGAAGCATTTCCAGGGTGGCTGCATTTTGGCTGAGTGCTCACTCCCTGCTGTGGGATGCTCAGAAGCCCCATTGCCCCACTACAGCCCTCCTCTATTCAAACCCGCTTCACTTCAGCTGTTAAACTCTTTGCTGGGTGGATTAGCTTTAAATTATGCTGCCGATGCCCTTTCATGGATTATAATTCTGTACGAGATGTTTGCTCTGTATCCTCCCCTCGTATTAAAGTGTCAGGAGTGCATCCCCAGGCCATCCATCTTGAACGTTTCCGCATGGGCTTGGCAATTCTCTGACATGAATATTATGGCTCTCAATGCCAGTCTCCATCACTCAAGCTGACAAGTGTTAGATTCTCCTCTCTTCAGCAGGGTAAGGGACCTTTTCATATGCAGCGTAGATTCCCCGTCATGCTGCATCTGTTGCGACGAAACCAGGGATCGCCAGCAATTCCCTACAGCCTTAGAAAACAACTCACAGGTCCTTTTCAACTTGCAAAACCAAGCCTTAGCATGACAAAGTTAAAGGCCCTTAATCAACCTCCGCTAATGCCTGTTCTGTAGAGGAGGATGTAAAAGCATCCAGGCGATGCCTTCAGTGAGATTTATTAACGAATGGGCTTTCAAGGAAAGATGAGGAATTTGGTTGCCAGCTTGCTGGAGCATACAGAGGTTTTTGTGACTTCAAACCAATTCTAACCCTAAGCAACACTTTCGTAGGTGAGGTGCTTAAAGTTAAACCCCCAGACCCCTTGGTTTTCAGAGCTGCTATGCACGCATACTCCCACCTGGAACACAGGAGCTTCACTCCACCAGTGCCTTGCAGGGCGCAGAAGGAGGAAATGGCTCTCCATGCCCTGCACTGGACACTCCATATCATCAGAACAAAACTGAATCTGCTGGAGAACTGCCTCCTAATTCAGTTCAAACTACCAAATTGACATTACTCCAGATCTTTGGCTAAACCAGGGCCCAGTAATATTTTCTCTCTATTGAGCAGAGGTATTTTCTTAGTAACTTCACCCACCTTCTCATTGCACAGCCCTGTGCAGTGGCTCGCAGCCAGCACAACCCAACAGAAACTTGTTAACACCTTTTCAGCTCGGTCTTATTAAAGTCAAGGTAATTAAGAGCTTTGCTATTTACAAAACAAATCCTCTCTGTAACACCTGAGAAAAAGCATTACAAGTGTTTCCCAAACACTTCTCAGCTGGGGAGAACACCTACTGTACCCATCTGCAGGGTGGTGCTGCAGCTGCCCTCCCTGTTGGAGGGGATGAGCCCAGGTTTGGGGAGCATTTGTGCCACACTCCTGTACAAAGGCACAGCGAGTCTGCAGGGCAGGGTTACAACTCAGGGAGAGAAGACACCGACAGTAAGGCAGGGTGGAAATTTGCTGCCTGCCTGCTGGTCCTTCCTCACTTCTGCTGCAGGCACGTAGCAGCGCACGAGAACTTCTTGTGTGTGAGGCAGGTTGTTCTCTCCAGATGTCCCCACAGGTGGCTGGAAGCAGCAGGTGACCTACCCCAGGTGTGCACCTCTGCAGTGAGCCACAAGCTCACTCCCACCCCGCTGTTTCCCTTTTCTAGGTCCCTGTTTTCTCCCAGGATACATCCCATGTCCCCCACTTTGGCAAAAAGTGAAGTAAATCCCCTCTTTTCAAACAAGCCTGGAGGCGAAGAGCCCTGTAATGGGAGATTATGGAAGAGATGCTACCAAATAAATGCCACTTGCTATGTAGTCTCAGAATTAATTCCTTCCTCCTCTTTTCCCCCAAACTCACAGTGCTTTCCTGGTGGCCTCTGGCTTATGAACAAGAAAGAGGACGGAGCAAAAAATCTTACTTGGATGCAGTGTTTCTGCTGGGACAGCTTGACACGGGAGCACTCCTGGCCCAAGAGGACCTCAACTAAAGACTTCTTAGGATTTAGAAAAGATCCAGTCTGAAGTCTGTATCATGTTCAGGCCCACTTCAGCTCTTCCAGAGGCTCTGAAAGGCAGAGTGGAGAGCATTGGTGGGAGCCCCATGCACAGTGGAGAGCAGTGGTGGCAGCAGCTGGGGATGCTCACCAGATGCAGGTGAGAGAAGAGAAGAGCAGCAGTTGTGTGGGCCAGAGTGGGACAGAAAACAAAAGACAAGAAATCCAAGTCTGTTGTGGAAGGGGAATGTAGAGGTTTACAGGGAAATAGAAATAAGGGGAAAGAGAGAAGGAAATATTAGATAGTGTTTTAACTTTTCTTTTTCTCATCTTTTTTCACTACCCTATGCAACGTGAACTGAAGCCACTTGTGGGCATGTACAGGAGAGAATAGCTCATCAGGGGACATATAACCACAGAGCCGGACAGTATACAGCCCTTAATTTCCTCCCCTAATGCTTTCAATAGCTCACAGAATGCCATAAAAGAGATAATGATGAGGTCAGAGGAAAGACTGTAAAACAATGGGGCACAAACCATTACCCCTCTTGGGCTCAGACTCATGGGCTGGGGTGCTTCAGCCAGCTGTGCGCTTGGGGCAGCTGCTGTGCTCCACAGCCATCATGCCCAGCACTCAAACCATGCTGTGATGGGTGTCCTGGTCTGACATATCTGGCTGTGAAAGTGATGGAGCTCCTGTGAGATGTCAATCTCATCCCACAGCTCAGCCAGACACAAATAAGGGTGAGGAGAGCAGTTGTTCTGTCTCTTCCCAATTCCACAAGCTTTCCTAACTCACAATGCTCCTGGCCCAACGTTTCCAGTTGCCTGTCCAGCAAGGGTAGATGACAACTTTAGAGACACCAATACCTATTTCTCTCCCTTTTGCCCAGTGCCTTGAAATTAAATCTCCTGAGCCAGTTTTGCATCTCTACTCCTGCCAGGCAGAAGTTCTGCTGGCCAGCTGCCACCACCCATTACAGGGACAAGGCACCTCCTCCCTATCACTAAGTGGATTTTGAAGGCAATAAGAAAGAGAGTAATTACATTAACACAGCTCCAAGTACCTCCCGATGTGCTGAGTATTCCCAGCATTGCAGCCACTCTCTATGAAGCAGGTAATACTGGTAAGTGGTAGGCTGCAAACATGGTTCTGGGGAACACCCGTGCTGCACCAGCAGCAGCTAATACTGGGCAGGAGTCCTGGGAGCACAGCACTGGGACATGGGATGGTTTTGTTTGAGCTAGCTCAAGTCCAAAAGCAAAGCAACTATATTTAAACTTTGATGTGCATAAGTGAATAAGCCCTATCCCAGGGCAGAGTTGTGTTTCCCAGCTTTCAGCCATCCTCGCGGTTGTTTCTTGTCCCATAGCCTCCCCTCGGGGGTGCCAGGGATATCATCCTGTGGATCAGCAGTCTGAGCCTGTTTTATCCAACAGCCTACTATTTACATTCCCTGTGAAACATTTTTTGACAGCAGCACATTCATTTATTCCTCCATGTACTACAGACAGATTCAGGCTGTGGGACTTGAATCTGGATTTGAGACAGACCCCATTTGGGAGTGCTCCGTCCCCATCTCTGAGGTGTGCCCAGGTGCCCAACCTGGCCAGCATCAGTGGCAGGACAGGGGATGTGCCCACCACGGGGCTTTATCTCCCTGATCTCCAGAGTCACAGATCACCACCTGGTCCCTTTCAAGCAGCCCAGAGCTCTAAATTGTACCTCTTGTATCCAAACACCATCCAATCTCTTGGAGCCAGGCCAGGTACGCTGATAAGGAGATAGTGTAAATGGTCATGCACGATAGAGGTCAAAAGTCAGTTTCCTGTGGTTTAACCCAGCAAGTGCTTATTTAGGGTCTTATTTAGAACATTTTTGGTTATCTCCTCTTCTGAAGGCACCATTCTGGCTAAGCACTCAACACAGCTCTGCTTCAGTGTAAAAGGTTTCAGACCTTGTGTGAAATGAAGTACAGAGTGCTCTGTACAATGCCAGCACTAATTTAATAAGAACTGTGGCAAAAGAAGCATTGAGAAAGATCATGGAGAGTCCTGTGGTAAAGGCCATCAGTTCCCTCTGACAGGAAGCTGAGCTGAGTTTTAAACCCGTGGTGATCTTTGGGACACTTGTACTTTCTCTGTCCCATGAAGATGTAATTAATTTCCACATCACCATGATTTGCTCAGTCTTGCATTAAGCACTCTGCCTCGTAACCAAGCTAACCACTGGCAACAATTCTCCCATTCAATCTTCTGAAACTAACCACAAGAGTTTTCCCACAGACGAGACTTTCTAGCACTGAAAATGCAATGGCTCACAGGTGGAGTGAATGCTTCAGCAACATGGCAAGAATTACACCATGGGGACATGATGGCTCCATTTATTTCATAAACCAAGTCTAACTAATTTAGCAAAATGAAGACAATCAACAACAACAAAACAAAACAAAAACAGGCATGGAATCAGTTTTCCAGGTGTGTCAACCAAGGAAAATTGCCTGAGCCAAATTAGTAAGCTAACAGCATGGCACCAAGTTACATAACTGGCACACTGCATCAGGAAGAGTCAAGCCTGAAATAAACTATCCCATGAGCTTCCACTATTATTCATATGGGCACATCTGTTCTCACATGCACCACCACAATTTCCTCCATATTAAGGCTTCAGATATCTTCTCAGTACGTTGTCTTTGTATTTATAGTTATTCAAGTAAGTGTTAGCTCTGTGAAACCCGAGGCTGATGACAAAAGAACTTGATTTCCACAACGAAAACTCCAGTACAGCAGCACTGGCAGCTAGGGCCCGACTGTCCCATTGCACAGAGACTTCAGAATACTCTGAAGAAATAGCTCTGCCTCTCTCTACTGCAACACCACTTGCAAGATTTCAGCTTTCTCTCACCTCCAAGAGCCTTACTAATTTAGAAGAATGCGCTGCGACTCATTATTTCTTCTAAAGAAAAGATCCAGAAAGCCACTGCATCTCCATTAGGTGTCTGCACCTCCTGCTGTGGCTTGAACTTAAGGCACCAGAGAAGCTGCAGTATTAGCTGCACTGGAATGTTTTGGTTTTCCCTTGCTAAACAAGCCCATCTCTCCAAGTGTGAAAGTGCTTCAGTTACCAAAACACTCTCGTGAGGGGAAAAAGGGAATTTCCTTATTCTGTATTTAACCAATGGATTCTCACTTTTGATTAAAGCAAGGAGAAAAAGACATGCCTCAGCATGTTCCCTTTACCCTCTCCATCAAGACAAGAAGAAGCTTTCAGAAGTTCACTTTTTCTTCTACAGATTAAACAAATTCCCATCTACAAATTATTATCTCTGGACCACTGTGTAAAACCCACAACCTCTGTGAGCACAGCCAAGCTAATGTTGCATGTGTGCACATAAGAGACATACCTTAATTGTGGAAAATCCTCCTGGCACCAGGTACTGCTCTCTCATGCGCAGGGAGGGTTGTGCACATTAATGGTCATTTCGTCTTCTTTTTTTTAATGTTCAAACTTTCTCAACAGTAATGAAGAAAACCTGTAGCAGAACAGCAAATTAACGCCAGGTGACAATAAGATAGTTGCTTTTCAATCCAGCTGGATAAGTACAGCAAGATCCAATTCCTCATCACAACAAGGGAGTGAAAACCCAGAATTCTCAGTTGTCCCATCAGAACTTAACATTCTCAAATCGTATCCAAATTGATATGATATCACCCTTAGTAGAATCACACAAAATTATAATACAGATGTAGCCTAACATCATCTGCTGCAGTAAATCTGTGAGAGAGAATACACAGTGCGCCTGGTGGCAGACTCACACACCTTGATGGAGGTGAATTAGCAGCACAGGAGTTGCACTCCAGATCTGCCAGTACAACAGAGACACTGAGAGCTCTGCTGCCTCTGCTCATTTTCACTTCCATAGCTGAAGTACAACTTCAGTGTCTCCATTACAGATTCCAAACCTCCTTCTCCCACAGCTGTCTTACATGAAAGTTTTTTTAATGACTTTGCAGTTGAAGTGCTGTTTTGGTTTCTGATTATTCCCACTAGACTGAATTTGCATGTATTTGTTACTGCACTGCCCTACAAGAAGACATGCTAGAATACCACCTTTTTCTTCACCACCAGATGTTCTTATCAGGTGTTAGATGAATTCATCCTTTAAGGTTACTCTGTAATACATGTTATTTTTTAAAACTAAGCTTTGGCTGGACTGAAGAAAACCAGCCACTGGTTTCTGATAGCTAACTTAGGAAGATGGGAATTCGTGAATAGATTTATCTTCAGACATTACTACAGAGAAAGCTGCTTTCTTCATTAAAACACAGAACCACACACACAGATCCTCTACGCATATGCAGCTAATAGCCACTGCCTATGAGAAAACATTTCAAAATATCATACGCCAAATGATCCCAACCCCAAACAATAGGCAAACTTTGACAACCCAGCTGTTAAACTCCCTACTTCCACACAGCAGTAGATACTGAAAGGTGCCCATCACAGCAACACGACTGCAGTAACCATCTGCTTGTGCAGTTTACTCATGTGTCTGCTCCAAAGCTAGTGCAAGCAGTAGGTGCACAAGCAGTCATGCTCTAACAGATGGAGTGCTCAGCCCCTAAACCATTAGGTGCATTAGATGATCATGTGAATACTCGCCTACAGTCAGATGGAATAATCGAGCTGCTAGGCAGACAGGAGTCAGATGGACAAGCCCATATTACAAGTCCATAGAACTAACTGGAATCCTTTCCCAAAAAAAGGCAACGAAGAACCTTTTCCTCATGAACTCAGAGGACGTTAGATTGGGCTACACATCAAGGACATGGTGCTAGATCTCCTTAGCTACAATGGACATTTCTCATTGAAGAAATACACAGCTTTGTTTGTAAGACAGAAAACTGGAACAAAAGAAAATGATGGATTTTATTGATTCTGCTGCTTCAAAGGATGACCTGAGGGGCTCATTTGAATTCTCTGTACATGACCTTCAGACTTGTACCATTTGTGCTCCATTAGTTCCTTTGTACAGCATTCTGCCATCTGGTGAGAAAAACTGTTATCAAGAAATTAGGTATCATCATTAAAAATACATTTACATATTACTCAGTAAATTTCTTTCCAGGAATGCC